ACCTATTGTTACCTATTTTTTTTAAAAAGGGCATGAAAACCATAAACATCTTTTAACCGAATCAAAACAATTCAATAAAGTAGTTTTTAGGCAGTGAGCCAGATGCATTTGTTAATCCGGCTGATGGTGCTGCTGGCACGCATCAGATTCTCCCTTCCCGGAACCTAATGACCCTCCTCTTACAGACAACAAAGGGAAATCAGAAACCAGGCAAACCCAAGGGTACCAAATGCTCCATTTCTCTAGTAAGTGCCCCACCTGGCTGCTGGCTAACTGTTGCCACAACAACAAAATTGGAGGCTGGGTCTGGTGTAACAAGCCCTGTGCCCAACTACACAGGCCTCCTGGGCAACAGCCATCTCATCTTCTGTCCACACCAGCCCTTTGATAAACAGAAAAGGTTTAACCCCGAGCCATGATGCCCTGGAATAAAGTAAGAACAAGAACAAAATTAATTCTCAGACAGGAAAAAGCTCCTTAGGGAAATGGCCATGGGCACCAGGATGGATTAAAATTGGGCTAAGCACAAATCCACCAGTTCAAAACCATCAGCTGCTCCGAGGGAAAAGGAGGATGATTTCTTCCTCTACTCCTGTAAAGACTGACCGTCCAGCAACCCACGGGGGAGTCCTACTCTGTCCTATAGGGTCACGCCGAGTTGGAATCCACTCCATGACCATGAGTTTGGTTTTGATTTTGACTTGGCATGTATCAACATGGACCTCGCAGCACAGAGGTAAAACATTCCTTAGCCACCCAGCCAACCAAAACAGCTGACCCCAACGCCAGGGCTGTACCTCCCTAATGGCAGGCCCCATCAGGAGGCAGCCTGCTCTTCCAGAGCTCTCTTTCTGGGGATAGTTCAGCCCTGGATGAAAGAGCAAAGCGTAAATTCTTCATGCTTCGTGTCATCTACACTCTAACATGGTCAAGGAGTTCTCACAACCCACTAAATGCCTGCACCTTCTGAGCAAGCAGGAACTCACAGCAGGCCTGCCACACGGAAGCCCATGATACCCAAAGTCTCTCTCTGCCAGGACTTTTCCAAAGACCCGGTTTAGGCACAAACTAAGGCAGGCTCTGCCAGTTTTCTTTCTGTGGAACCAAAGGAACCGTCCCAGGCTCTGGGCAGGTGCCCTGGGTCACAGCAGCGGGAAATCACCCAGCTTCCCAGGAGACAGCGATAGAGGAACAGATGTGACCCTGTCACCAGCAGACGTGTGAACTAAGAAAAACAAGAGGATTGCCGAGCGGAAAGGGGGCTCCTATTAATACACAGCGAAGACTCAACACCAGTTCTTCTAAAGTGGCTGAGCTTTCACCAGAACGGCCTGAAGCAAAGACACCAAGACTCGGAATCAACTCTTCAAGAAACACGAGGGGAAAGAATGTGCCCACCCAAGAATCGTGCTCGATGGTGCAGTCTAGAAGCAGGTGAGAACAGAAGTCAGTCGTGCTGACTAAACTCCTTATTAAAAGGGAAGTCAGGGACTGACAACAACGAGAGCGGCTCCGAGGGAGGAAAATGAGGCTTTCTGCTGCCGCGGAGCGTCACGGTCCAGAAACCCACAGGGTTGCGATGAGTCAGACCCAACTCCTTGGCAGTGAGTTTGGCTGTTAGCTAGTCACCAAAAGGATATGAAGGTGAAAGTCCAGAGATGGGTCCCTTCTGACTCATACGAGAGGAGAAAGATAATCCCGTTGCACTGGCCATCTGACTTAGGTCAAGTCCTAGAAAAACCCAGAATGAATACGGATAAACCAATGGACAGGCCAGACGGCCCCACACTCCCTCCAGCCACACCAGGCTGGCGATGCCCTGCTTGAATGACTAAGTAGCTTGCTTAAATGCATTTGACACATGATCCCCGAACTTCCGAAAAGCACTTAATACAGCAGCTCATGAAATCTTAATCTAAAAATGTTCATCCATTTATAATCAGGCTACATCACACTGACAACTGGAGAGGGAGGCTAGACTGAGGGAAGGGATCCATACTTGGAAGGACGCCATGGGGATTGGGATCGTCAGGGAGTTGGCTTATCATTAGACTCTTTCTCTAAGAGTCTAAGAGAATAAAAAAGACGTGGAGTCTGAAAAGGGTGTGATAACCACGGGTGAGGGGACTGGGTTACCTGATTCAATAAAGGATGGGAGAACAACAAAGGAAATGCTGTGTCTTGGAAAACTCCACAGACATCTGGGCTAAAATGAAATAGGGGATATGTTTTAAGAGCACTGTGTGTTGGGGGGAGGGTGTTGAGTGGGGGGAGTAAACAGGGAAACAAAGGAATAAACAAAATAAGCTACTGAAAAGAAATCTTGGATAGCAATTATGGAGAGAAAGAAAAGTACACAAAAAAACAACAGACAGGGAGCATTGTCTGGGGGTGGTGGTGGCATCTAAGTCACTGGCCTAATACAGTTCATAAAGAGAATATTCTGCATCCTGGTTTGGGGAGTGGCATGTGGGGTCTCAAAAGCTGGGAACAGCCATCTAAGATATAACTATCATCCTGCCTGGAACAAAGGAGAAGAAAGAAAGTGATTAGACCACAGGGCTAATGGCCCATAAAACCACAGACTGAGAACAACAAACAAACCCCCAAATAACAACAACAATCACAAAAAACCACAGCCTGAGACCAGAAGAACTAGATGGTGCCCAGCTACCCCTATTGATCACTCTGAGCAAGGGAACGGCAGCTGAAGTCTCAGGAAGAGTGGGAGATCAACTTGAACAAAATTCAAATTCATAAAATAAAGACCAGACCTACTGATCGGATAACGCCTGGGAGAATCCTGAAACTATTGCCCTATGAGACCCTTTAACCTGGGACTAACGCCACTCCCACAGGCCACCTTTCAGCCAAAGAATAGATCGGTCTATAAAATAATCAGTACCACCCATGAAGATCAATCAGAACAATCAACTACAGGTGTCCAAACTGGCAACATGTGGCCAGAACCAAAGGGAAGCTGGAGGGGTGGGCATGGGGAAGGGAGGGTGGGACAGGGGAGTGCTGACACAGTGCAGGGACAACAGCCAACGTCAAGAGGCGTCTGTGTAAGAACTGAATGGGAAACTAATTTGCTAGGCAAAGTTTCACCTGACACTCAATGAAATGCCCCCAGAATAACAACAAAAGGGCAATGGAACACCAACCACATTTAGCAAATATTTACTGAGTCATTATAATGTACCGGGTGCTGTCCTAATTGCTTCCGAGATAGTAACTCGTGTAATCGTCAAAATAACCTTTGACTGCAGGTACTAGCGTGATCCTTGCTTGATAAGTGAGGACACCCTTAACCCAGAGAGGTTAGGGGACTTGCCTGAAGTTACATAGCCAGTAAGAGGCAGAGCTGGGGGACAAACTCAGCACCCAATGCCCAAATCAATCCGCCCAGCCTCTCTGGGTTCCCCTAGCACTTTAAGCACCTGGGTTTGCGAGTGAGCTAACTCTACGCTAGGAATGGAAATTCAAGTCATGCTTGGCCAGACCCAGGATCAAAGACCGATCCTTTAGTCATGGCTCTGTGATGATGACCAACCAGCCCTGTGACCTCTCCTCGCCTGTTTCCCGCCCCCATGCACTGGGGAGACAAGTAGATGAACACTAAGATGTCTTCTGAAAATGCCACAAATCCCTGCTGACAATGAGCAGGACCTGGCTGGCGCCATCTGCTCTCTGACCAGCTAGCCAATAGTGAATTCATCCTAAGACCGGCCGGCCGCAAGCCGCATTCAGACCCTCTCTCTGCTTCCTGACCTTCAGAGCGTCCTGATGTCCTCTTGATTCAGGCAGACAGGGAAGGTAGTGAAGGGGAGGGCGGGCGCTTTGGTTTCTCTTTTGGATTCTGCTGCAATGAAATGGCCCCTGGAAGCTCTGGGTACAGATTGCATCAACTCTGACAAACCTACTAGCTTGGGGGTGCTCTCGGGAGTCTGTCTTGGGAACCTGCCTTTGGATCTGGTTACTGGAATTCGGGGGAAGCTGGGAACAAGTGGCGCTGCAAACACAGCAGATGAGTTGGGAAGGAGATTAACAGCAGCAGTCCGCCAGTGGCTCCGATGGAGTTTCTTGATGGTTGAATAAACAAACCTCTTCTAGCCTCTTCTTATGAACTGAGACCTCAAAATTCATTATGAGGGGAATTCAACACCTACTTTCAACTCAAAGAACCCCCGAAGTATGCATCTCCAATGGTATTAAAGGTCAGGCAGAGTGAATTTGTAAGTGAAGAAGGGCCTCAGGTGGGTCATGCAATCCCTCCTTCACAGTCTTCTCCAACTATCCTTGACAGGTCGCTGTCATTCCACCTCTGCCTGGCCACTTCCAAGGTCAAGGTGCTGGCTACCTCTCCTGGCAGGCAGCTTCCTACGCTGCTTGGGAAGCCTACGAAGCACTGAAACAGTGCTTGGGTCCAGGCTAGGCTCAGTAAGTGCGCCTCCAAGTGGATCAAAAGCTGCCTCCCTGAAACTTGAACCCATTGGTCCTGTGTGCGCCCCTGGATCTCTGGAACGCTGGGGTCCCTAGTAGAGCCCGGGCTATAATCAGGTGCCTCGGCCCTCTCCTTCCAGATGCGGGTCCCGGACCGACTGCGTTCATCAAGCCTGGGCCTGCACAGCCCTCCCAGAGCCCTCACATCCCAAGAGTGCGCACCGCTGCGGGGACAGCCAGCAAGAGAGGCCGAGGTTGGGGTTGTCCCCAACCTCGTTTCCTGGGGTAGGAAGGGGACAAAGGGCCTTCAGGAAGGCATCTCCGCCTGCCACCGCCGCGGTTCGGGCTGTCACCTGCCAGTGGGCGAGCCGGCCCTCGGGTCCCCGCGGCCCCAGGTGACAAACACGGAGGATCCCCGGGTAGCCGGAGCGCGCAGGTTGCGACGCGAAGGGCCGAGCAACCCCGGCGCTGGAGACCGCGGGGCACAGGGGTTCGGGCCAACGGATCCAGGGGACGATCCCGGCTTCACGGAGCTCGCTCGCCCGTGACTTTACCTGTGCGTGGTTGCCTACAGCACCCCAGCTCGCCCTCAGTCCAGCTCCTGCAGCTCCGCGGCTGCCAGCCGCGCTCATGGAAATGCAGCCGGAACCCCTGGCCAGCGCTGCTCCCGCCGCTACCGGCCCCGCCCGAGCAACTGAGGCCACGCCCCTGACAACCGGTCATGCCACGCCCCTTACCACGGAACCAGTCCGTTCATTGGGCGGCCCAGCCGCTCCTCTACTAGCCCGGCAGCCTCATTGCGCCCGGAGAGTTGTCCATTGGTCAGCGGAGCCGCTCTTCAGGATGAAGGCGGGGCCCTTGGCGGGGATCGCCTAGACAATTGGTTGCTTTTGACGTCCCTCGCCCGTGAGCTAAGATGCGATTGGGCCAGCGTGCCCGGAGCGAACCTGGGGAAAAAGAGAGGGTGGCTGCAAGGTGGATTGTGTTTGATGCCGGCTGGGCGGGGTGCAGAGGAACAATTGTGACCTCTGCTTGGTTTGGAGCCTTGAGGTCAGACGTCCAGGGGGAGTTGGGAGCAGGGAGATTGGCTGGCGGCTTAACTGCGAGGTTCGGGTGGGGCCAGACCGGCCGGCTGACTCACCTGTAGTTCGGGACACAGGGGGCGAGATTGAGGGTCCAGCCGGGCGAGGAGGTGGATGGATGGGTCGTGAGTCACCCAGTGAGGAGAGGAAAGGGTGTGGAGGCAGCCGTCTGAGGCCCCTTCCTGCTTTCAGGGGGAGAGCACCGTGCCCGGCAGTGTGGACTTTGGCTATTGTCCACAGCGGAGAGTGGTGAGAAGAACTAGTCCCGGGAGTCAGAGCTAGAAATGAGCCTCCTGCTGGCGCGCACTGATGGGACTGGTCGTATGGCTTTGGGCAAGCCCCGTTCTTTTCTGCTCGTGAACCCAGGGTAACAATAATACTTGATGCGAAAATTAAGCAACTCTAATAAACACAGTGGCTGGAACTCAGTAGGCATTCCATCAAGACTGGTTCCCCACCCACTCGCCACCAGCCGTCCATGGAACCAGGCCCAGTTCTAAAATTCGACGAGCCCGAAAACGCTTCTGCTTGCACAACGGCATGTGCTTGGCCAGGAATAGAACACTTGATTGACATGAAATGCAATCCTTTACTTTAAGGGTGGACAGAAGGGGCCCTGCTGGCTCTGTGGGTTAGGCATTGGCAAAGCAAGATCGGTGGTGCAAACCCACCAGCTACCCCAAGGGAGACCCTCCCTGGGATCACCACGAGCCAAAATTGGCTCAGTAGCAAGGCGTTTGGTTTTAAGGATAGATAGGCCCACCCACCAAGGTGCGGAAGGAGGTCAAGTGAGAGAGCCAGCCTGGGATGAGATGGAGTTGTGACTTAGCCAAAGAAGGGAAGTGATATTTGCAGCAGTGGTTTGCCAAATGTTCCAGCATTTTGACAAGGAGCAAGGGGCCTCCATTCTCCTGTTCACTTGCTGGAGGGCCCTCTTGCTTCAGCTCCATGGAGCAGGGCCAAGCAGCACCCTTTGCAGGCTGGGTACTGAAGCAGACTTATTGCCATCCAGTTCTCCCGACTCATGGTACCTGTTCCATAGGGTTTCTTTGTTGTCGTCTTTATGAAAACGGCACACCAGGCCTTTCTTCTGAAGTGCCACTGTGTCGATTTGAACTATCAACCTTGAGGTGAGCAGGTGAGTGAGCATAAACTTTGCGCCACTCAGGGACTACCCAAACAAAATAAAGCCAACTGGTTTTGTTTGTCCAGTTGATTCCAACTCATAGCAGCCCTGGAGGACCGAGAAGAACTGCCGTGCCAGGTTCCCACGGCTGTCAATCTTCATGGAAGCCAACTTTCATCTCTGTCCTCGGGCAGCCCAGAGGTTCAAAATGCTGACCTTTGTTTCCAAGCGGGGTGCTTTCACCAACATACCACCAAAGGACCTACCGTGGACGTGAAATCTGTCGTGGACTCCTGGGACTCCTTCCCCGTTCCAGAGGTATGGACTGAAAATGCCCTCTGGATTTACACTGAGATCCTTTGGCCTCCCTTTGAATCTTGTCATTGCTGTAGTTTCCATTCTGTTGTCATGTTACCAGAAAAGAAAAAAAAGTTTCACCTCAACTCTACTGCTATCAAATAGATACTGACTCAGAGTGACCCTAAAACAGAGTGAAGCTGCCCCATAGGGTTTCCAGGGCTTTGGATTAGTAGGTGAGTACAAATAGCCACCCAGGGACCTACCCAAACCCACCCCAACTGCTAGCAAGTGATTCCAACTCATAAGGACCGTTCAGGACAAAGTAGAACGGCTCCCTAGGGTTTCTGAGGCTGTCAAGCTTCACCGGAGCAGACAGCCTCATCTTTCTCCCTGGTGGCACCGTGGTTAAAGCACTTGGTTGCGGAATGAAAAGCCAGTGGTTCAAATCAACCAGTTCCCCTGCAGGAGGAAGTTGTGGCAGTCTCTGGTGGTCTGCTTCTCTAAAGACTTAGAAATCCCACCTCGATTGAGTTGATGAGGATGCATGTGGGACGGAGCGGAGCTCTAAATGCGAGAGGCTGGAAGTCTGAGCGCAGATACAGACTGCCTCCCCCCTCCCACACAGGCCGCTGTCCTATGAGGTCACGGGGACGAGGAGTCCACTCAATGAGAGTGAGTTCTTTCTGTTGTGACTGTCTTACTCTTTACACCAGTGGTTCTCAACCTGCCCGATGCCGCGACCCTTTCATACAGTTCCTCATGCTTTGGTGACCCCCAACCATAACATTATTTTCATTGCTACTTCCTAAGTGTAATTTTGCTACTCTTATGAATCATGATGTAAATATGTGATCGGCAGGATGTATTTTCATTGTTACAAATTGAACAAAAACATAATTCAAGCATAATGATGAGTCACAAAACAATATGGAATTATATATTGTGCAATATTTATGTGTTTTCCGATGGTCTTAGGCGACCCCTGTGAAAGGGTCGTTTGACCCCCAAAGGGGTCTCGACCCACAGGTTGACAACCACTGCTTTACACAAACTTCCAACTTTTCGTTGAGCTCTTAACCACTGTACCACCAGGATATTTTAGTGTCAACTTAAACCCTAAACCAAACCCACTGCCATGCAGTCTACCCCATTCCATGGAGATCTGATAGGGTACAGTGGAGCTCCTTAAGTTTTCTGAGACTGTCCATCTTTACAGGAGCAGACAGCCTCATTATTCTCTCTCAGTGCAGTTGGTGGATTCGAACTGCCAACCTTGCCGTTAGCAATCCAACGCCTAACCCAGTGTGTCACCAAGACGCCTTCATTTCACTTCAGTGTTTGTTTATTCCTCTATATTCTCATCCATTTGGGGAAAGAAAACTGAGGACTTTGGTAGAAAAGAATTTTCGTGAAGGACTCCTTTCCACCCATGGTCCTGACTCGATGTTAAAACAACTTGGGCTTCCAAAAAAGAGCTTTAGACTAATCACTGGTTGTGTGTGTATGTTGTGTTGTGTCTTTAAATAGCACTACTCAGTGGTCAAACAATTGCTAGACTTAACATTGGTTCTCAACCTGAGGGTTGCGACCCCTTTGGGGGGTCGAACGACCCTTTCACAGGGTTCACCCGATTCATAACAGTAGCAAAATGACAGTGATGAAGTAGCAATGAAAATAATTTTATGGTGGGGGTCACCACAACATGAGGAACTGTATGAAAGGATCACGGAATTAGGAATGTTGAGAACCACTGTGCTAGGGAAACCAATCCAGCCCAAAGGGGTTTTCTCCTGCCTGAGTTTGTTAAGGAAGATAGAGGTGGCTTATTAGGATACGCCTGACATCAAGGATGATTTCCCCAGTTTAACTCAGAGCCTCGGAAGGCAACTGCAGGTAGACTCACCACTATGTAAATAGACTTACCCTAGCCCACCCCCACCCCATCTCAGGAACAGGAGTTCAACCATGAGTTCCAGCAAAAGAATTGCGGTTCGGTTCTGAAATACAGTTGTGACACAGAGTGTCAGAAAGAGGTGACCCAGGCAGAGGATGAAAGATGCAAAGTGCATAAAACAGTGTTTGGCACACACTTACCACGCAGCTGTCTTTGAGTTGACCCTGACTCATGACATCCTCACATGTGTCAGAGTAGACCTGACTCAATCACCAGGCCTTTCTTCTGAAGTCCCTCTGAGTGGACCGGGAACTTCCAGCCCCTCAGTTACCAACCCAGTGCTTTAACTGTTTGCACCCCCACCCCCACCCCTGGACTTCACGGGAATTTTATTTATTTTTTAAATCTTTTATTAGGGGCTCATCCGACTCTTATTACAATCCATACATACATCAATTGTGTAAAGCACATTTGTACAATTCGTCATTCTCAAAACATTTGCTCTCCACTTAAGCCCCCGGCATCAGGTCCTCATTTTTTCCCCCTCCCTACCCGCTCCCCCCTCCCTCATGAGCCCTTGATAATTTATAAATTGTT